TTGTCTCATTGAGTAGCGAGATTTTGCTCGGATAGAGGGCTTCGCTCGAGACCCGTTCCGTGCCTCCTTTTTTCCCCTACCTATGCTGATAGCCTTGAGAGGCTATGTCAGCGTTACCCTAGCGTGTAGGTGAACTCTCGGGGCTCACACCTGGGGGCGTTGCTAACACTGGCCCTAGCAAGAGCAGTGCTTCGTAGAATCTACCACCGGATCGGAAACGCGACCCACTGAGAAGATCCGATTAGAAACCGAGTGGGCTCTGTCTATGGGTTAATTTACTCACCGAGCCCAAGCGACGGGTTCAGCGAGGACGGTGACCGGAAGTGCCTCCATAAGTCCTCCATGCACGACGATGACTGATTGTCAACGAGGCTTAAGCGACAGTGACGTCATCGCTTTGGCAGATTACGGCTGAAGTACGTCCGAGCTGAGCTTAAGATGTTGTTCATGATCGACCGAACCTACTTTCCAATGAGCCGCCGCATGGACCACTAGTTTGGAAACTCTCTTACTACTCGTTGTATCCAAAGAACTTCAATTGTTGTATAAACTACTGTTAATAGAATACGCTGTTTCTCGCTCAAAATCTACATTGAACCCACATACAATGGCGTAGCGGGAGAGAGCAAGAGAGGCATCATTCCCCGGGCGCTATTCACAAAGGGCGATAAATGGTCCACAAAACAAAAAAATGCTGGATTTGTTTTTTTGATTTCTGGAAAATATTACGCTAAAAAGGTATTGTACCCTGGGCGCGAGTTAAGATCGCGACGTCACTGCCCACGTAGTATGTTCACCGGAGAAGACCGTCTGAACGTTAACTTCACCGACATACATATATACATATGCGACTGAAAATTTCGGGAATTAACGAAGTGACAAAACATTACTATTTAAAAATGTATTTATTGCTTTTCGAAGTATTCTCCGCGAAATTTGACACATTTTTCCATACGATGAAACCAATCATTGAAGCAACCATTCCATTCGGAAGTTGGGGTCTCCAAAATGGCCGTTTTGTAGGCATCCACAGCCTCTTCAGGTGATGAAAATCTCTGTCCACGCAATTTATTCTTTATTTTAGGGAAAGTATAGAAATCATTAGGGCTTAGGTCGGGGCTGTACGGCGGATGGTCTAATAATTCTATGTTTTCTTGCTCTAAAAACTCTTTTGTTCTGTGCGCGGTGTGAGAACTCGCATTGTCGTGATGGAGGATGATGCGGCGGTTGCAGTTCTCTTNCCCGTGCTGTCATCCGCATAGCAATGCATGCCATCAATAGACAGCATGTCATTGATATACAGGATGAAAAGCGTGGGAGAGAGCACCGAACCTTGTGGAACGCCAGCGTTAATGGTCATGGTATCAGAACAGTCACCGTCTACAACGACCGTGATGCTCCGCCCATCCAAAAAGCTAGCGATCCACTTGCAGAGACCCTCGGAGATTCCTTAAGATGGTAGCTTCGACAGAAGTGCCCTATGCCAGACCCTGTCGAAGGCCTTCGCGATATCAAGGCTCACAGCAAGAGCCTCGCCCTTGCTCTCCAAGGCTTCAGCCCACCTGTGAGTAAGGTATACAAGAAGATCGCCAGCTGAGCGACCGTGACGGAAACCATACTATCAGTCACTGATCAGCTGGCGATCCTCCAGATACTCCAGGAGTTGTATAGTAATTATTCGCTCCATCACCTTGGAAAGCAAGGAAGTTATCGCGATAGGCCTATAGCTTGATGGGTCCGACCGGTCACCCTTCTTGGGGATAGGGTGGACGTGAGCGGTCTTCCATGAAGACGGAACCCTGTTAGCGCAATAAGAGAGGCGATACAAACGCGTTAGCGTAGGCGTCAGCTCAGAGGCACACGTTTTTAGAACCACTGCAGGTATGCCGTCTGGCCCACTCGACTTATGGACGTCCAGGAGTCGGAGTTCCCGCCTGACTGCACACTGTGTAAAGCAGATCTCCGGCAGGGAACTATCACACCGGGGGATGTTCGGTGGTGTGGCACCCCCGTCGTCCACAGTCGAGTTCGAGGCGAAGAGTTTGACAAGAAGGTCAGCCTTCTCTTTCGCACTATGGGCCAGACTGTCATCGGACTTGCGTAGTGGTGGGAGACTAGACCAACCCACATACAATGAACATACATTGAACCCACATACAATGGCGTAGCGGGAGAGAGCAAGAGGGGCATCATTCCCCGGGCGCTATTCACAAAGGGCGATAAATGGTCCACAAAACAAAAAAATGCTGGATTATTTTTATTTTTAATATAATTGATTTCTGGAAAATATTACGCTAAAAAGGTATTGTGCCCCGGGCGCGTGTTAAGATCGCTACGCCCACATAGTATGTTCACCGGAGAGGACCACCACTCTGAACGTTACCTTCACCGACATAATAATATATACCTCCTGCGATAGTCAACGCACATTATCTGGTGATAGAGCGTATTGTGTACCATGTGAGTACATAGGTAGGTGAAGCACAAGCAAAAAACGTACAGTACATATATTTGAGACTTCTTTTTCATGACTCAATGTCATGGATATAAGTTTCCGGGAAATATTTAAATATTTATTGGTATTCTGAGTATGTGACCTTCTTCTAGCCCGCTGGCGTAATTATCGTTTTAAAGAAGTTCTTGGTGACGTAAGCACATGGTGTTTGTGGGACAGCCGATGCGACCTGCTACACAACTCCATTGCCTTTTCTTTAGAGCATCCAAGCACTACCACAGAGGTTGAATAGGTGTCCTAGGTCAAAACTGCAGCTTCAAAAACACTCGACTAACGTAATTTTGGGCGGATACCGCTCGACATCAGCTATTACGGTCGGCGGCACGTCACGCCGCCTATCCGATGGCACTGGTGATCCGCCCATACAATAACATAGTTTCAACTAAGCTCAGAACATAAACGAGACGTCGTGTATAGGTACTATTAAGATTTAGGTCGTAAAAATGCGGCCATTAAAAGTTACGCAAACAAAAAATTATAAATGATTAAAATACCAAAACCCATGATTCCATATAAAATACCCGTCATCTCGGTGCCATATCGATTTTCTTCAATGTCGTCTTAGGGCGAAAAATTCTAAACAAAACTTCGAACAACTTTGACGTATTTACAACGGATATATTCTCCGTGGAGCTTCATAAGTACAACAAACTTTTGTGGAAAACGGGAGAATTTTCGCATTACGAATAGCGCGTTATATTTTCATTAGGGTTAGGAAAGTTGAATGAATACTTAATGATCCTTATTATTACCAATTATTGGAATACTCTCTTTTCTATTCCATTTATTGATTTTTTCTTTCACGTAGCAATGTTTCGACATGACGCCCGACTTAGAGTGGTTCTTCTCACTCATGAACGTCAGCAGTGCAAAGGTTCAACCAATCCGCCAGCTGCTACTGAGGAATCTCTTTAAACCTCATTTGAAGACGAACATGCTATAGACTACTATAGAGTTCAGGAAATATCACGACAAAATGCGTCAAGAATCTCTGGAAACACGCTGTCAACGAATGTAGAGGTTTTAGGTAGTTTGGTTAGCTCTATTTCAGTCGTTTATGGTACGATAGGGGTAAAAAGATGATAAAATCATTTCAAATAATTCCTCTATAAATAATATTTATAGACTTAATGCAAGTGAGTCCACTAGACATCTTATTATGAATATATGTTATGAAGGAAAGGTTTTTTTGGTACTTTGGGCTTGAGGCCTACCCAACATCACCAGGATGGACGGTCGAGTACAGGCTCAGCCTCGAGGGATTCGCTAACAACCGCGTCAGCGACTACAAAAGAGGCCTACCCGATGAAGAGTAGCTGCTTCGCCAGTGCACCTACTATCGTATTGAAATCGCGGCTCGTTAAGAAAACCCAGCAAGACGCTAAGTGGGCTGATATTATAGTCTAAGTGTCATGTTGTACTCTTCGATGAGTTTCAAAAGTACAGTGACCTTTGCTATTTTAGACTACTAGTATTAGAAGTTGAATCATTCCATTGAAATTAGGTGGGATTGGGACGTATGTAGAATTGATAAGCACAAAACTTGCAAAGGCATAATACGACGAACACGAAGTAAATTTATACGAACAGTGGCTCATGTTAGTTTACCCATATACGGGCGACGCTACGCAGTTATAGTCAGTGTCCTTTAGAGCTTTTACTGTTGTGCTTAACAAAATATATAAGAACATTGTTATATACAACCCGCAAAATTATAATTTGCGTAATCACTGGTGGTAGGACCTCTTGGGAGTCCACACGCGTAGGTACCACCACCCCGCCTATTTCCGCCGTGAAGCAGTAATGCGTTTCGGTTCGAAGGGTGTCGTAGCCGTTGTAACTATACTGAGACCTTAGAACTTATATCTCGAGGTGGGTGGCGCATTTACGTTGTAGATGTCTATGGGCTCCAGTACCCACTTAACATCAGGTGGGCTGTGAGGTCGTCCATTCATCTAAGCAATAAAAAAAAACATTTACATTATCAATTTTTCATTTTTTTATATATTTATTTATACTAGTAGACCCGAAGTAGTCGAAATTCGACTATAATTAATTGAAATTATAAGTTTGAACATTATTATACTTTTATAATCACAGATTTCCCGAAGTCTACACTATAGATAAACAATATTAAAGATTGACAATAAACAAATAATATATTATTATGTGTGTGTCTCAAATACATGGTAGTATATGTAATTTTTTTTTTATTGATTTAATGTATTTTTAATTTATAATTTAAAAAAAAAAAATACCATTCTGCACTCCATTTCTATATTCTCTATAAGTGTCGGAAATTTCATACTCCTCCGTCCACGCAATTTTCGTAAAAAGGTGTAAAATTTTTTTACTTCACGTATTAATGTATAGATATCCTCAGATCTCTTATTACCCGAATACAATTCACAGAAAGCTGATCAGATAAAGATCTCGTTGTACAAACAAAATACGTTTATATTCACGATAATATAATCTAACGTACCTTTTCTTCACGATGGCAATCAGGTATACGTGCTGAGTGTTCTTCGTTCCTCGTATAGCTCTGAAACAAAACGGATTTATGTGAAAATTTGATTTGAGCGAAGCACAAATAACTTTATTTTTTTTATAGCTTAGATGGGTGGACGAGCTCACAGCCCACCTGGTGTTAAGTGGTTACTGGAGCCCATAGACATCTACAACGTAAATGCGCCACCCACCTTGAGATATAAGTTCTAAGGGTCTCAGTATAGTTACAACGGCTGCCCCACCCTACAAACCGAAACGCATTACTGCTTCACAGCAGAAATAGGCAGACTGGTGGTACCTATCCGCGCGGACTCACAAGAGGTCCTCACCAGTAAGTTTAGTTCTGATAAAGCGAGCGAGTTTCTCGCCAGATCTTCTCAAAGGGCCACGATTCTAATCCCCTGGTAGATTCAACGAAGCACTGCTCTTGTTAGTGCAAATATTATCAAATTCTTTCAGACTGAACACTGAAAATTGAAGAATAGTTCTTTGAGGTTACCGGCATTTATATAGGTAGATACAAAAATATATGCACGTGCATCTCGTAATTATAAAGCGTATTAACCATTTATTAAACAGCTTGCTATGGTACAAAGACCGGCATGTATGTAGGTAGTCACAAAAATATATGCACGTGCAACTTGTAATTATAAAGCGTATTAACCATTTATTAAACAGTTTGCTCTGGTACAAAGACCGGCATGTATGTAGGTAGTCACAAAAATATATGCACGTGCAACTCGTAATTATAAAGCATATTAACCATCTACTAAACGAATTCACTCTGGAACAGTCTTAAGGTTAATTTTAGATTATTTTACTTAGTACAGAGTAATGAATTGTTTTATATTTTCGCGATTGTCTACATTACAAACATTATTATTGAACGGGTTCTTGCCATGACTTTTACATGTAACGGGTTCACATGCGAGTGGTTAAAATGATCTTATTACAGCCATATCTGCTCACATTGCTAATGTATTACATACAAAGTTCGTGAAGTAATTCTATATTACGGTCTTTCATGTTTTCAATCATGAGGTATAATTTTATTTATTGTTTATTTAGGTACCTTTTACTGTACACACATCCCAACAAAAATAACATTTTTAAAACTTTTTGTATTATGGGCTGTTATGATTAGTCCTCAGATTATCACATTTAAATAAAATATCTATGACAAATTACAAGAAGGTTGTGCAAATAAGCCTATACAGGCGCTATCAAATGAATCAACACCAAACAAAAGGCTTCGGAGTCCTGAGTCATCTTCTAATATCCGAGACATGGTTTTGAGTGCCTTGGTAAACATTTTTAGTACTAACATGACGTAGGCCAGATATTTTTGTCCAAAACTGACGGCGTTTCAATACACTCGTTTATCTGGTACGCTAACCTTCGATGAATACCAAGCAAATATAGTGTTTAAAGAAATGCATTTAGTTGCATACCTTTTTGGTGTATTGTATGTATGTAATAAGCAATAATTCTTGCTTACGTAAATTCTGAAAAACAACTATAATTTGTAAAACATTGCTAAGTTCAATTCAATAAATTCACATTATAGCACAGTCCCTCGATGAATATATTGTTGGTTTTCTGGGCACCATATTACCTATTATCTTCTTATTACCTATTCATAACAGAAAAATAATAAAAATATAATTAGGCTTCACATTTTAAATGTCCGTGTACACAGCATTCTAATGTATTTTTCATAAACAAAATAATTATTTAAACGTAGAAGAAAAACATAAAGGGAAACATGTAATTAATTCGACGGTTTTTGTTAAAAGCGCCTTTTAATTAGCCGCACGAAATGAAATAAGCTACGGAAATATTACGTTTTCCGACCGCTTTGATAATTCGCATTAATAATAAAATATATTCTCTTGATAAAGTAACGAAACAAGCAAAGGTTACTTAATACTAAAGAAACAGATTCATAAACAAAACAAACAGTAAATAACAAGGAGGAGATAAACATTTAGCTTCGTTCAAAAGAAACATTTGCGGATTTCGATGAAACGTGCTAGCACAAAAGAAAAAGATTATTCTAGTTATCCATTAGCTTTAAGTTAAATGTTTTCTATTTAATAATGTTTCGATACAGAAGTAAAACAACATTTATCTCGATTTGAATGTCGAGTTAATTTTCAATAGAGAACAGATGAATTTAACATTAAATTTTGTAGTTTGATTTGTAGTAGATTAGTTTTGTAAATTTGATTACTTTATTTGCTATTACTATTTGTATTTAAAAGCCCGCTGAACTCATTTTTTTTTTTTTTTTTTTATTGCTTAGATGAGTGGACGAGCTCACAGCCCACCTGGTGTTAAGTGGTTACTGGAGCCCATAGACATCTACAACGTAAATGCGCCACGCACCTTGAGATATAAGTTCTAAGGTCTCAGTATAGTTACAGCGGCTGCCCCACCCTTCAAACCGAAAGGCATTACTACTTCACGGCAAAAATAGGCATGTCGGTGGTACCTACCCGCGCGGACTCACAAGAGGTCCTACTACCAGTAAAATATTTTTCTTGTAAATTTTGTATAGATTCCTAAGTATCCAAAGTTAATACTAATAGCACTATGTATTACGATTGTTTAGTAGACACGATTCGGCAGATCATTGGATATCTTTTCGGTAAAAAGCATTTTAGCGTTAAGATTGGAATTAGACACATTATTTACGTTTTTTTTTTCAAACTAAAAGCAATTGCGTTTTACTTCGTATCTACAGATACTTTTCATGTTTAGTCTACATGGAGCCAGTACGCAATTGTGTAATACTCGTATTACTTGCATTCCAATTCAATGAGCAATGACAGCGTCTGGAAATTGAGACGATGTTATTGACACGATTTGGAATTTCATAATTAGGAATTGTTCGGTATTTGTGGTTGACTTTGTGCGTCTAGTTAATAGAAAATTTACTGTAGTTTATAAAAGCGTGGACTAAATAATAGGCCAAAGAGTGGATCCATATATTTAAAATTTGGAGGAAATGTTCGTTAGGCGTGATGATTTATTGGATTTAGGACTAACATATGTTGGTAGACTGATATCGTTTAAAAAAAAATGTGTGCGTGTACTAGTGTACACACGTAAGAAGTGAAACTTGTTTATGGCCTTATTTTTCGAAAAATGATCTACATGCAACTTTCTAGAAATTGGTTAAATAAAGTTAAATTAGATAAAGTTTAAACAAAAGGATTTTATTATCATAGACATGAATACAAAACAGATGGCGCGTAACGGAAAAAAGTGACGCGTAACCGAAAAATGTGACGGTAAATTTTTTTCCAACGCCGATAAGGAAGTTTCACTTCAAAAATGTTTCCTATTTAAAATTCTAAATACAACACAGATGAAACCAAGTTAAACACGAGTATTTACAATTAGTTGGATGAATACGAGAAATAGTCGCCTTAATAAGGAAGAATTGAAAATATGTAAATATATTTATTGTAAAATGTTTTACATCTATTAGATTTTCTGTGTTAAATTTGAACAATAACACCTTAAATTTAAGCAATATTCAAATAGAGATTCTGTTTTAGTTCGAAATGAAACAGTTAATATTGTCTGATAATTAATTAATCGCCATTATAATGAAGAAGCCTCTCAAACCGATCCCTTATAAGTAAAGGTATAATATTTATAATTAAACTTGAGGGTGCGAGGGCAGCCGCAGATGGCGGAGTAAGCCGCCATCACCAAAACTCAACTCATTATTAAGGAAGTTTCCAAGAAGTGCCTGTTTACGCACCCAAATTTTCTTCTAAACTGTTTAGATATTTTTGGTATAGGTATGTGAAACAATGCGAGATAAAACACTGGCTGAAATCCGTAATTCAAATGATTACTTAGCAAAGGATTGTAGGTAAAGTGAATTCATGAAAATGACATAAAAATCACTTTGAGATTTGCGTTGGTCGTGAATCGTAATTATTAGGGTAAGTGAAATTTGTTGTAACGAAAACCGTTTATTACGTATAAATTTATTTTGATACTGTAAAATTCTGTTTTTTTTTTTAATGCTTAGTTGGGTGGACGAGCTCACAGCCCACCTGGTGTTAAGTAGTTACTGCTGGAGCCCATAGACATCCACAACGTAAATGCGCCACCCACCTTGAGATACAAGTTCTAAGGTCTCAAGTATAGTTTGTACCTCTATTGTACGTTAAACATTTTAGGCTAGGCGTTTTTTTCTGAAGTGTTAATGCAAATAACATCTGAAGGAAGCTAGCTCATTGCAACTGGATAATTAATGATTAGATTAAATGAACAATTGAAGACAGTCGAAAATTATGTTATATTGCACTTGTATTTTATCGTATGTAGTGCAAGATTAGTATTATGCAATCGTTTGGTATTGGATTTTACTGTGTTATGAATCTTTAGTATGTAGCATAAGTCTTTGTTTTAGAGAATGTTTTTGTTCACACTCGACTTCGGGTATAAAGCTTTTAGAATATACTGGACTTTCTGGCCTTTATGGTGGGCGGCGACTTAAATGTACTTAAGAGAGAAAACTATGTCAGGTGTTCACGAATTACTTCCACAATGAAACAAATAACTTCGTGTAATAAATGGAAACAAGCTAAATTTATAAATTTGCGTATATATTCGGGCGTAACCCAATTTCACACGGTTAGTTAACCGGCTTGTCTATTTTTGCGGCGTAACAATCTTATTTTTGTTTACTAGTGGACCTCTTGTGAGTTTACTGGTGGTAGGACCTCTTGTGAGTCCGCACGAGTAGGTACCACCACCCTGCCTATTTCTGCCGTGAAGCAGTAAGGCATTTCGGTTTGAAGGGTGAGGCAGCCGTTGTAACTATACTTGAGACCTTAGAACTTATATCTCAAGGTGGGTGGCGCATTTACGTTGTGGATGTCCATGGGCTCCAGTAACTACTTAAAACCAGGTGGGCCGTGAGCTCGTCCACCCATCTAAGCAATAAAAAAAATAAAAAGTACACTTATTAAATTAATTAAACACGCGGATTAAACCTAACGCCCTGCC